GGAAAAAACTTCGTTGCAGTTCCGCATACCGGCCACACAGGGCAGTGCCGAGACCAGGAAAAAACTTCGTTGCAGTTCCGCATACCGGCCACACGGGGGAAGTGCAGAGAGCGGAAAACACTTCGCTGCAGTTCCGCATATCGGCCACATGGGGGCAGTGCAGAAACAGCGGAAAAGACTTCGCTGCAGTTCCGCATATCGGCCACACGAGGGCAGCGCAGAGAGCGGAAAGCACTTCGCTGCAGTTCCGCATATCGGCCACATGGGGGCAGCACAGACAGCGGAGAAAACTTCGTTGCAGTTCATCATATCGACCACACGAGGGCAGTGCAGAGACCGGGAAAAGACTTCGCTGCAGTTCCACATATTGGCCACACGAGGGCAGCCGAGAGAGCGAAGAACACTTCGTCACGCTGCACTGCGCATGTGCCAACTTGGTCACTGCACAGCGCGTGCGCCTCACTTCATGCAGTACGGCACATGCGCCGCTCTCGCAGCGGCACTGCTCATGCGCTCGTCCAGACGCACGCACAGTCGATTCGCAGCGCAGTGCGCATGCTTCAGTCCCGTTGCAGTTCCACATGTCGGCCACACGGGGGCAGCCCAGAGAGCGGAAAGCACTTCGTTGCAGTTCCGCATATTGGCCACAGGAGGGCAGCACAGAGTGCGGAAAAACTTCGTTACAGTTCCGCATATTGGCAACACGGGGGCAGTGCAGAGACAGCGGAAAAAACTTCGTTGCAGTTCCGCATATCGGCCACCCGAGGGCAGTGCAGAGACAGCGGAGAACACTTCGTTGCAGTTCCGCTTATCGGCCACACGGGGGCAGTGCAGAGACCGGGAAAAAATGTTGCAGTTCCGCATATCCGTCACACGAGGGCAGTGCAGAGAGAGGTAAAAACTTCGTTGCAGTTCCTCATATCGGCCACATGGGGGCAGTGCAGAGACAGCGGAAAAAACTTCGTTGCAGTTTCTCATATCGGCCACAGGAGGGCAGCACAGACGGCGGAGAAAACTTCGTTGCAGTTCCGCATATCGGCCACACGGGGGCAGTGCAGAGACAGCGGAAAAAGACTTCGTCGCAGTTTCTCATATCGGCCACAGGAGGGCAGCCGAGACAGCGGAAAAGAATTCGTCACGCTGCACTGCGCATGCGTTGTCGGCCGAGTTCGCACGGCGCATGCACCAATTTCTCCGCACTGTGCATGTGCCCACTTGGTCACAGCACTGCGCGTGCGCCTCACTTCATGTGGTGCGGCGCATGCGCCGCTCTCGCAGCGGCACTGCGCATGCGCTCATCCAGACGTACGCGCAGTAGTTTCGCAGCGCACTGAGCACGGGCCAGTCCCGGCGCTGCACTGCGCATGCGTTTTCGGCCGAGTTCGCACGGCGCGTGCGCCTGTTTCTCCGCACTGCGGGCGAGCGCAGCACAGAGAGTGGAAAACACTTCGTTGCAGTTCCGCATATTGGCCACAAGAGGGCAGCCCAGAGAGCGGAAAACTGCGCATGCGCTCATCCAGACGCGTCGTCGCCTCCTTGCTGTTCCTTGCCCCAGCAGTGCTGTGTACTGCACGTGTGCTCTGTGAGCTTGCCAGTGAGGAATGCTTCAGCAGCTGGGATGTGGTATTGACCCCAGGCAGCCCTGTGGTCTCAAAGCCTACCATGCCATAACCTCCGTAGCCAAGCTCTTGCTCTGCTGAAGTACTTGCGGCCCATCCTGCGTGATACTTTGGCATAAGGCTCATCTCTTAAGATGAGAGTCTAGGAGGCTGTTAGCTTCTTTTGTTCAATCTTACTACTGTTGCTGCTTATCAGTTTGTTTGTGCACTGCTTTCACAGGTTTTTCATTGCCACTTTAACAGCAACTTCTTCCCCCTGTTCCTGGAGCACCTGCTGTCAGACCAGATCTCTGTATCTACTGGATCCTTCCTCCTTGGTGAGTCTCAGAAGGGACTGGAGGGAACAGCTGAGTTAGGGTCTGGCCTGAGTCTGGATTGTCTCTTTGTAAAATTCAGCTGGGGAGAAGCGTGCTCACAAACAGGTATTTGGGCTGTAAGATTCACACATGCATACACCTCATAAGCTTCCTTGGCACTTTTTAGTCTTCTTTCCTAGGCACAATGAAACTAATGTGGAGTCTTTTTCTAGTGGTGGAGAGCGTGAGGTGCTGGATCCTGCCTAGACTCTGCAACTCTACATAGATTTTGTTCTCAGTACGACATGTCTGCAGATACAGCTCAAAGATGAGCAGGGAGCACAGCTCCTAATTTAGTGCCTCTCTATGGCATATGGAGTGC